GCGCTAACCCCCCCCCCCCCCTTTCAAGACACCTAGATACACCACTGGTTTTACTCAAATATAACCTCACTTCTGTCTTCAGAAATTAAGTTCTACAATAATGTAATAACTCTAACAATATTTATCAAATATAGAATAAATTAATTAAATTATGAAGTAAATTTCATTGAAATTTAATAAATTGAAATATATAAGAATATACAATAATAATTATGAAATTTCTGTACTATAGGCCATGTGTAGAATTCTTATATAGTACCAGCTTTAAAGCCCCATTCCCGGCAAATTTGTTTAAGTGTCAAAATCTCAATCAGAATCAGTTTTTTAACAAATTTGAATTAATTCCTATGAAATATTATATTTCACAAGTGTCAATACTAGCAACGGAAAATATCATGTCAGCCGTTTATATGTGTGATAACAGAACCTAAATCGAGGTAAGGCTAGGCCTAGGCTAGCAGCGTTGGATAGGCTAATGTTTTCGGCGCCTACGATATTTCTTCTCCCGACCTATCGCAAAATCAAACATGAAAAATTCATCCGCATTTATTTTTTGTGTGGAACACAAAAAAATCAAATTTCAGTCTTATTTTACATTTTTTCATTCTTAGGAATGTCTAAATTCAGTTAAACCATGGTTAAACTAGCAATTCCGTATTATATTTATAAATCTTTATAACATTATACAAAAAGTAGGTTTTTCTTAAAAACTGAAATTTTGCCGGGAATGGAGCTTTAACATACAGTAAATGCAAATAAGCTATTCTGTATTGTTAACCATATTATGCACTAAACAAAAGCCCAGCAAAAACCATATATGCTACGAGATAATTGCTTTTTGTGTATATTCCATGTAAATGTCAAATAATTTCCCAAAAAAATATCAATAATTGTACATTATATTGCACATTTAAAACAAAAATATATGATTTCACTTTTCTTCTAAATTTTGTTGTCTGTATATTTTACTTTAGGTTTTGATTTATTCACTAATTGACTAATAAATATCCTAATACTGATACATTTAACATAATAAATATGCATATTGGCTTAAAAGTATAAAAAGACAACATGTTTCATTTATGTCAATTTAGCAGGGGAGCCTAGAACAGGCATAACATCCACAAACAAGCTTAAGTCTATGCCTAACAAACTTAAAATTCTCACTGCTATGGTAAGCCTATTCATTTGTAATTTTAAGGGTAGTGTATGTTTTATTAATAGGACAAACAAAACACACCTGATTTCCTTGAGATGTTAAATACATCGCGGCTAAACTGGTTTACAGCCAAAATGGGTCCTTACTGAATCAGTTGGCGTGAACGTAAATAGAAAGAAAAAATGAAACATCATGTCAGCTAAGATTTTGACACTGTTTTGCATTTTTCTGTCTTCAGGTCAAATTTTGCTGTGGATGGTGCAAATTGTAAAGTGGATCCAACTGTGGAAAAGGTGGTCAAGGATTTTGTTGCGGCCAAGAAGCCCTTGGGGTATGTTCAGGGGTCATTGTTACAGTGCATTATGTTGTAATACTGTGTCGACTGCCATCGATAGACTAGTCCATGTTTACCAGATTTTCCAATTTTCAACAACTAATACAATCATATTACTGTATCAGCATTATAATATTTTGTTGTTATATAGTACTTTATTGTTTATAAACTCTCCAGAATTCTAATCAATGTTTGCTGGAATTTTATTATTTTAACATCTTGAAAAAAAATATTAGTGTATTAACAGTTATTTTTGTTTGTTTTTATATAGCTCACATGGCTTTTTATATCCCTTGTCACTTTGTATATCCCTTTTCATATATTATGTAATAGGAATTTATATAGCCCATTTTCATATGATCATAAAGTGCTTTTTTTCCCAGGTTGATACATAATTATTTATGCACAATGTTCAACCTCTTTCACTCCCTGGGAATATTGTTAGTTATGAATTTATGCATGTAATTTAGCACCAGAGGATTGGATTTATTCGGTGTAAACACCAAGGATAGCCCACGAAAGTCTAGAAGACGACCTATCTCCAGTGGGGTCCTTCTGGTGGTGATTGGGCAGTACACCGGGAGACAATCCCCTACTCTTTTCCGAAGAGTGTACTGCGTTAACCGTGCACATGGGCCATCAATGCACACGAGACCAACTGCTTAAACTTCTCATCCGAAAGACAGTGCGCTATTATAACTTGTATTTCAGCCCTACAGCTGAAATACAGGGAGAGGCAGCGATGGGAATTGAACCGGTAACCTCTCCACGGTTGAGTGTGACAAATTTCATTTCAAGTCAATCATCCCTACCAGGTTTATACTCCTGGGTGAAGAAATACACAGAGAGTGTTAAACTCCAAGCAATGTGTTTTTAGCATCTGTTTCTCTCAGTAGAAAGAGCTAAAAGCCTTTACTGCTGGTCATGCATTTAGTGGCATACCTAGGGAGTGCACATCCCCCTAAAAATACTAGCGGGCCCCCACCATTGATAATGTCTGAAGAAAAAAAAATCATACTCAAGTATAGTAGTTAAAAGTTATTTTGCGAGCTATCCCCCTCATCTAATCACTTCACCTCCGCGCCCGGCCCCCCTCCCCCCAAATTTCAAGACTTATAGGTATGCCACTGTATGTGTTCCAGCCTCTTTCATTCATAGAGGAGTATTCGTAATTGTTGTAGCACAGGTTCGGTAAAAATTTCTGATAATTCAAGTACATATATATTCTTTTTCAGTTTGTGTTGCATTGCCCCAGTGTTGGCAGCTAAATTAGTTCCCGGATGTGTAGTAACAGTTGGACAAGATAAAGAAGATGGAGGCCGCTACCCCTACGCAGGCACTGCTGGAGCGATTGAACAGATGGGGGCGAAACATGTAAATAAGAATGTGTCTGAGATCCACGTAGATGAGGCTAATAAAGTGGTCACCACGCCAGCGTTCATGTGTGAGACTAAAGTGCATAAAATCAATGATGGAGTAGGGGCAATGGTTCGAGCCGTTCTTGACCTGTCTCTTATACACATCTAGATGTGTATAAGAGACAGGATTTAGGGGGTGAATGGGGTTGCTTCTTTCAAGGCTAGA